GTGCAATTCCAGATAAATGCAGCAATGAATGAGTTTATGCATAGATATTTTTGTGTTGTTGGAGGTTTATCTTCAGGGTAAATCCCTAGGAGCGGAATCGTGGGTCAAAGGGTAAATGCAGACCTAGTTCTGGTCAAGTTGCGAGGTACCCTCCATCTGGATTTGTAGCACTTTTTCTGACCAACAGTGTACAAGAGTGATTGGTAGTTTATTTGTACAAACAAAACGAAAAGCTTCTCCTTAACACCCAGCGTGCCTCTGACCCCTGTATCTTCTCAGCCCTGCCTGTTGTCAGGTACGGATTCTAATATCAAGCTCAACGTCGTACGTAAGGTCAGTTTATTTGCAAGAGTCATATACAGCAGTTGTTTGACTTATGCTGATTTTTAACATATACATGCTCTGTTTTTACTTTGGAGGAGTAAACTGTAAATTCAGTTTCAGTATTCTCAGACTTTTTCTTAGTCTTTTGGGGGAATTGTGAGAAATAAACTGGAGAAATAATTATAAATGGAAGATCGTACAGATGGCAGAACTGAAGTCGTTTTTTTGCAGAGGAACCTTGGGAAATAGAATGCAAACTATATTCCAGTGTATGGGGCGGAGGAAAGGTTAAGAATGAGAGCTGAACTTTGTAGAAGTAACTACTGTATTTCCATAAATTCTTTTGAGTTTTTACTATCAAGAAGTCTCAACAGTCATGTTTTATTAGTTGAGGTAATTTTTATAAGATCACACAAAATGCTCAAAACAATTTTGGAATTGCGGTAGGTGGCTTACGGCTAGACACTTAGGACCTGAAGATCGTTTGTCCCTCTCCTGTCCTCTCCTGTCCTGCGGGGGCACTTCAGCGGTGAGGTGTTTAGAAACTGTCAACTGTTCTAATCAGGCCACTGCTAAGAAGTCTGTTCTCCCCTAACTCACTCACTGTCGTCCCACACTGGGTGTTTCTGTTATTCACTAGAAAACACATTTCTGAGACAGTGGTGTGCTGAATAGGGGGTGGGAATCTGCCTGTTGGGGTGTGTTGATGTTGGCTGATGGGAGGTTTCTCTTTTTTTCTGAAAACCATAAGAAATAGCTGAATACCTTTTAAGAAGCTCTTAGAAAAAGAAGGAACGATCACCATTTCATTTTATTAATTTCCTTTATAAAACCTAAACAATGGTACAAAAATGAAGCTGCTAGAGACCAGTCTTAGTTATGGACGTGTTGGTGCTGTTAGGTGCTATCGAGTCAGTTTCCGACTCACAGCGACCCCACACACAACAGAACGAAACACTGCCCTGTCCTGCGCCATCCTCAGAATCATTTCCTATGTTTGAGCCCATTGTTGTTGCCACTGTGTCAGTCCATCTCGTCAAGGGTTGTCCTGTTTCACTGACCCTCTGTCCTACCAAGCATGATGTCCTTCTCCAGGGAGTGGTCTCTCCTGATAACGTGTCCAAAGTACGTGAGATGAAGTCTTACCATCCTCTCTTCCAAGGAGCATTCTGGCTGTACTTCTTCCAAGACAGATTTGTTTGTTCTCCTGGCAGTCCATGGTGTATGTTCAATATTCTTCACCAGCACCGTAATTCAAAGGCATCAATTCTTCTTCTGTCTCCTTTATTCATTGTCCAGCTTTTGCATGCGTATTAGGTGATTGAAAATACCATGGCTTAGATCAGAGTCCTGAAAGTGACATCTTTGCTTTTTAACACTTTAAAGAGGTCTTTTGCAGCAGAGTTGCCATATACCCAAAAATTAAAAACAAAGTCTTAGCAAATAGCATCCAGCAATGTATGAAAAGAATAATACGCAGTGACCAACTCAGGATTATGCCAGGGGTGCAAAGTTGGTTCAGAATCAAAAAATTCTATCAATATTCATCTTTTCATTAGCAGATGAAGGAAAAAAAACCTTGTGATTAAATCAGCAGCAGATGCTGATGAGGCAGCTGATAAAAAGCATAGTAATCATATCTTTTAAGTAAGTGGAAAAGGGAACGACTTAAGTATGTCAGACTATCCGTTAACCCATTGCCGTCTAGTCGATTCTGACTCATAGCGACCCTATAGGACAGAGTAGAACTGTCCATATGGTTTCGAAGGAGTGACTAGTGGATTCGAACTGCCAGCCTTTTGATTAACAGCCAGACTCTTAACCACCGCGCCTGTTACTCTAAACAGTAAACACTAAAACCACTTCATTTAAACTCAGAACTAAGCAGGGATGCCCACACATTCAGTAATGTCTTAGAGGCAGTAAGACCAATAAAAGAAATAATCTGTATAAATATTGGGGGAAAAAAACAACTCTGTTTTGCTGATCATGTGATTGCATACCTACTAAGCCCAAGAGATTTTAATAAAAAAAAAATTAATATGAATATTGCATTAAAAAAAATCAACTTTTTCTTTATACTTGAAGTAAACATATAAAAATGGAAATGGGAAAGAATATTCCGTTTAAAATAGTGACAAAAATGCTTCAATTCCTAAGAACACATTTAAGAAGAGAAGGGTGTTATATAAAGCAAGTGATAGAATCTTTTTAAAGTAAATACAGGTAGAACTGGGAACGGAGAAACATACTATTTTCTTGGGTAGACAGACAATACCACTAACAGGTCAGTTCTCAACAATATATAAATTTAATGCAGTTTCAGTTTGGATCCCAGTACAGTTGTCTGTGGAATAGATAAAGTGATATTAAAGTTTATAGGGAAACACAAATGTCTGTGAGAAGTTAAAAAAAAAAAAAAAAAGCCTCCCAGATATCAAAACGTATCATAGAGCCAGACTGATCAGATCATTATCATATTGGCCTGGGAATTGTTCAGTCAGAATAGGTAATCCCAGAAATAGGTCCTGCTTCATAGGACTATTGAGCAAAGAACAAAAATATATTTCGATTCAGTGAGAAGAGGATGGGTTAGTTAATAAATATTGCTTTAAAAGCTAGGTATCCATTTGGAGTGTTGATGAGCTCCGGTGTAACATACTACGTGCACACACACACAAAATTACAGTTGGTTTAGAGATTGAAATGTAATAGAAAATCAAGGACTGAAAACCCACAAGCTATATGATGAAAGAAATAGTTTATATATAAAAATTTAGAATGTCTGTACAGGTAAAATATATACAAAATCAACAGACAAATAATTTGTAAAAGTCTTTCAATGATTGTTAGAATTAGTATGTAACATAAAATGAACTCTTACAAACTGACAGAAAAATGACCTATGATCCATCAGAAAACTTGGCAGAGAGTGTGAAGGAGCAGTTTATTGAAGTACAGTAAAACCTGGGAAAGTCGGAACCTGTGTAAGGCAAAAACCTGTCAGAGAAGGAAAACTCAGACATTTCCCACTAATAGAGAAGGATAGAAGATTCTAAAGACAGCACTCTGTCAAAGGCGGAAACCTTGCGAGACCAGGAAAAACAAGCCCGTCCCATCGAATTCCTGCTCTCACAGGTTTCGCTGTACAAATTTAAATGACAAGAAAGCGCGCAGACAGTGATGCTGAAGCTCAGGAATAGTAAGGGAGATTTTGATTCCACTGAGGTAAAAAGGAGGTTAAGCTTCCTGCTGAATGACCTTGCTCTATTTTCCAAAATAATAGTGCTGACTTTTAATTTTTTAATAATTTTTATCACTTTTAGAGGTTTTTAATCTTTGTTATATGCCACATTTGATTGTGTTGCATGGTTTTGGTCTTTGAGTTAACTCCATCACGTAGTCTTTTCTATGTAACTTCATTTTCTTTTTTTGGAAAGTTAAAATTGGCCCAGTTAAAAAGATTGCTCGTCGTGCTGTTTTAATCTGGGTAGCTGATCTTATCGTTTTATATTTCAAATAAAAAGTTTTGTAAGATGGTTTAAAAAAAATAAATCCTTACAGTTTTAATATCTGGGGTAAAAGAAGTGAAGCCTGAGTGAACATTTCTCATGCAGAAGAGGTTGAACTGTGAATACGCGCAGCTTTGAGTTAGGTGATATGATTTTCGATTGCAAGTACAAACCCTTTTGCTTAGTCTTCTTCGAGAGAAAATACGTGAAAGCTCATTAGAAGTTGCACTTGGACCATTTATGTTTGAGTACCATTTTCAAATAGCAAATATATTGGTAACCTTACCATGTTGTTACAACTTCTCTGTGTTATAGAAGAGGAAAATGAGGTTCACTGATATTGTGACTTGCCTAAAGGCAGGATTCTAAAGAAAAGTTCATTTTAAGAGCTTCAGTTAGTATAGTATAGTAACAGTATAGTATAAAAACCAGAAACCACACCCGCTGCCGTGGAGTTGATTCTGACTGATAGTGACCCTGTAGTATAGTCATAGTATAGTATAGTATAGTATAGCATAGCGTAGTATAGTGTTGTCTCCATGGTGAAGTTTGTAGAACCCCACAGAGGAGCTGATGCAGGCTAACCAAGTTTCTCTAGAAATACCGTTTCTTTTTGTTTTAAACAGCTTTATGGTGGTGTAATTCGCGTATCAAAATTCACCCTTTTAAAGTGTACATTTCTGCAGCCATCAGTACTATCTAATTTAAAAACATTTTCATCCTTCCAAAAAGAAATCCTGTATCTAGATACTTTTGATGTCCAAAGAACAAATGCCCGCACTGAGACTGAAAATTAAGTTATGTGTCCTAAAAGGAAGGTGCCCCGGTGGAGCGGCAGTCAATCGTTCGGCTGTTAACCGAAAGGTCGGCAGTTTGAACCCACCCAGCAGCAGCTCTCTTCTGTCCCATGGGGTTGCCGTGAGTCGAAATCGACTCAACAGCACCCAACAACAGCAGCGCCGTAAAAGGAAGCTGAACCCAGTAAAAGGCATTTTGTTCATATAAAACCTCGCTGATGTTTCCAGGTCGGTTAAACAGTTTCGTTTCGTTCTCCCCAGGGGTAAGGGGGCTGATTATTTTGTTTTCTGTGTTGGTACAAGTGCTGGTTCCAGAAAGGTCTTTTTATGGTCACAGTTGCTCAGAGTCTGTGCTGTTGGTTTACAGGGCGCTAGCTGACATGAATAACGATGGCAGAATGGATCAAGTGGAGTTCTCCATAGCTATGAAACTGATCAAGCTGAAGCTGCAGGGCTATCAGCTCCCCTCTGCACTTCCCCCCGTCATGAAGCAGCAGCCTGTCACGATATCTAGTGCACCCGCGTTTGGTAAGTCTGAAGATGAATTGGTTGCTGTACTTCTTTGTCTGTTTTAAAAATAAGTATTGGGTTTTTCTTCTCTTAGTTTATGTAGCGTTGTGAAGATCTAGGAGGTAAGCATGTCTGATGAACGAGCACCCTGTGTGGGAAGGTGGGCTGGAGGCAAGAGAGCACGGTCACGCTCCAACCCTAAGATGAGAGCAGTCAAGCTGCAAGCAGAGGTGGGACCCTCCGTCGGTGTAAGAGGAGCGGACAGACGCGCAGCCTGCCACTGCGTCTTCGGTTTTCCCTCCTCTTCCTGAATTCCTGGCCCTTCACGCTGTCACAGACCTCTTGTGGCTTTCTGTTTCCTGGTGCATAGAATGTGTGCATGTGTGCATGTAACAACTCCTTTGGATTGTGGTGTGTAAAAATGTATTCTGTGATTCATAGTAGTAAGTAATTGTCCACGTTAAATCCTTTCCAGAACAAAGTGGAATAGAAAAAACGTTGTTGTCTCAATTAAAAGCACAATTCCGTAAAAATTTCTTTCAGCCAGGAATTTTTTTATAAATTCGTCAGTGATTAGTTGACTGTCTAAAATCACGGACAGTTCTGATCTCTTCTGACCCTAGACTTTAATTATTTAGGTTTATTTTTTTGAAGATTATAATAATCGGCTCTAACATCTGAATCATAAGGAGGTTCTTAAACAGTTTGAAGCAAAAAACCAAAATTTGTGGGTAGAACTTCTTTCCTTCTCTTCATCCTGATGTAGCGGATGACCGGTGATAGAGTGAGGTAGATTTTGGGGCGATCAACAGTAATTCAGGTTGTCTCGGAGACGGTTGCTGCTGACCTGAGATAAATCGGTGCTCTGGTTTCACTTACTAGATTTACTCTTAAAAATAAACAGACTATCCATTGCTTCTCTTTTGGTGAGGTTTAGCCACAAGGCTCGTTTTTAGAGGGGAAAGTAGAAATTCTGGGAAGATTCTTTAGGGCGGGTAGGACCAGTAATCTAAGAGAAGAAGGGAAAAACCCATAAAGTCCTGTGCGACGCGCAGAGGATGGGAAAGGCACACTGACAGTGCTCAGTGCCGTCAGGGTCCTTGATTGTCTCGTGCGTTGTGTGTGCACAGCACCGAGCCTTTAGTGACCAGCTTCTTCAGTGGAAGTTGCTCTGAACCCTGAAGGTCACTGTCGCTGCTGTTTCACCAGGACCCACGTGCTGAAAACAGTTAAAGGTGTTCTAGTTTTCTGTTGGTCTCCCGTCCACGGCTGCAAGAAGAAACCTCAGAGCAGAGGAAGGGTCAGATAACCAGAGGCATCCCGTTTCCTCTTTTCGCCCCTGTCCTGGGGTCAGCAATTCTTCCCTTAACATTTAATATGTCTTCTCCTATTCCATTCTGCTATAGGAATTTCAGTTCTGAAAGTATTGCTGATTTATTTTCAAGAGGTTGTGGCCTCGCCGACCAGAGGCTTTTACAGCCACTTCAGGCAACCGCAGAGCCCTGGTGGCGCAGTGGTTAAGAGCTCGGCAGTTCGAATCCACTAGCCACTCCTTGGAAGCCCTGTGGGGCAGGTTTACTCTGTCCTTTCGGGTTGCTATGGGTCGGAATCGGAGTCGACTTGACAGCACACAGCAACGAGGCTGCTGCCACTGGCTGGGGTGCCGGAACGGTGCTGGTCTATGCGCAGCTCTTCCTTTAGGCTTCTCAGCTGCCTCTCCTTGCCTCGTTCTCACCACATCAGCATTCTCAGTGAACTGCTTTAAAGAGGGTGAACCAGCATAGGAGAGAAGTTACAAGTACATGGTCCTAACCCAGTTTACCTGAGTTCACTCAGAGAGCTGGCCTTTGCAAGTATTTCTAGTTCTACCTCTCAGCTCAACCCGGGGTAATTTTTTTTCACAGTTCTCTGGCTGCTTGAGAATAAGATAATTTATTGTTTCTTATTGTCATTATTTTCTCATTAATACTAAAAATGATCTGACCATGCACTTCATAGCCCTTACAGGGTGTGCCTTCACATCTAGTATTTTATCTGATCTTTGAAATAACCCTTAAAGTGGTCAGAAGTTCTTACCGTTGTTGTATAAACGAGAGACCTGAGATTCTCAGAAGTTAAATGATTTGCCTTGGACCTTATTTCTGACAAGGGAGGTAGAGTCTGTCTAAACCCACAGTTTTTCGGAAGGTCCTAGGTTTTGGTTTTTTTCCCTTGTCTCTCCCCATCTCCATTGTTACCAGGCCATCTGGGTGACGTGGAGCACCACTCTTCCAGGGTTTGTTGTCTGCATGCCTGATAATGCAAATGCCAATGTAACCGTAGAATTAAGGCTGGCGAGGGTCTGAGCAATCGTTTTGTTCAGTTTCTCTACCCGACAGAGGGGGAAGAAGGTGTGCCCTGATCTTGTGACTCCCCTAAGGGCACCCAGCTGTAGTCTAGGAAATTCTGTGAGCATGCCTGGCACTTTTTCCCTCTGTGAGTTTGCACACAGCACCCAGTTCTGCTTTCACTTTGGACCCAGCCATTTCAGAGGGATTTTTTTCTCTTTTGTTTTTTTCTAGAGTTCCTGGTTTTATTGGATTAAACCAGTATGTTTTGAAGTCACTGCTGTGTGTGCTAGTTGCTGGTAACATGGTGGCGAGTAAGGCAGGCATGGCTGCCGTGGAGCTTGTTGTCAGGTCGAGGGCAACGAGCAGATGAAGAAGTGATTTCATTTAGGGACAAGTGCAGTCGACTGAGTTAAACAGATTAATAGACAGAGACTGGGGCAGAGTGATCGGAGATGGCGTCTCTGAGGAGCTGACTTTTTTTTATTGTTGCTGGAAGTATACCCAGCAAGGCATACACCGGTTTAACAGCTCCTACATGTGCTGTACAGTGACGCTGAGTACTGACGTCTCTGAGGAGCTGACTTTTTTGTTGTTGCTGGAAGTATACACAGCAAAGCATACACTGGTTTAACGGTTCCTACACGTGCAGTACAGTGACTGTGAGCACCCTGTACAAATTGTACGGCCTTTCTTACCCTCCTTTTCCCACTTGTTCCTCCCGCATCAAGATAAAATCACTTTCCTCCACGCTTCCTAACTAACCTTTGGAGTTGCTGTTATCAGTTCGACCTCATATAGATAGTTCTTTAAAAGAGCATAATGCTCACAGCAGACATTTTTTACTAGTTAAGCTACTGAAGAGATGACTTTTGAGCTGAGACCTAGCCGATAAGAAAAATTGAGCCTTGTGAAGACTTGGGGGAGAAGCCTTCCAGGCAAAAAGAACAGCAATTGCGAAGATCGTAAGGTGAACACCAGCTTGACGTGTTTGAAGAACAAAAATAGAACATTGCAGCTGATGCACTGGGAGGTCCCAAGGTTGTGGAGCTAAGGCAGGAACCAGATAAAGCATACTAAGAAGCTGTGTTGTTCTCGTTGTTAGGTGCCGTCGGGTTGGTTCCAACTCATAGTGACCGACCCTGTGTACTACAGAACAAAACGCTGTCTGGTCCCGTGCCATCGTCACGATCGTTGCTATGCTTGAGCCCATTCTTGGAGCCACTGTGTCAAGCCGTAGCCTAAGGAGTTTGGATTTCTTTTTCTAAGTGCAGTGAAAGCCACAGAGAGCTTTCTAAGTATGGTTGATGGATTCTTAAAAAATAAATCTGTGTTATCTGAAGAGTGGATTACAGGGGACAAGAGTAGAATCAGGAAGATCAGTTAGCAGGCGTTAGCCATGGGCAGGAGGAGGTAATGATGGTTAAGATCTGTGTGGTGATAATCAGTCAGGACAGGATTAGATTCATTATCTTCTGAGTTGAAAAGTATAGTAACTGAAAGGGATAATTCACTGTGGAATATCAACAGCAGATTCAAGATGGCAGAAGAAAAAAATCAGTGAATTTGAATAGAAATGATCCATTCTGAAGAACACCGAGCAAAAAATGTAAAAGTAATTATCAAAGCCTCAGAGACCTGTGGGACAAGATCAGATGTACCAACATACATCTAATGGGAATCTCAGAAGGAGGAGCGAAGAGAAAGGGGCAGAAAAAATCTTTGAAGAAATAAAGGTAGAACACTATCCAAATTTAATGAAAAACCTTATCTTATTTTTACGCAAATAACGCATGTGTTACTAGTTTTCTTGCCAGCCTCAGCCCCTCGCCTTGTGAAGTATTTCCTTAAGCATGCTATGCTAATTTTTTTAGCGCACTTATGAAAATACCTCATCGGGGGGAGGGTGCAGTTGGCAAAAAAAAAAGTATAACATGAATTATATTTGTGTAAGAATATGGTAGTCTACAATCTGAGAACCTCAACAAACCTTAAGTGGGGTGAAGAACTAAGAGATCCACAGCTAGACCACAGTTAGCTATGAGAGCCAACCTCAAATAAAATCTTAAAACGAGAAACACAATTCATCACATATAGGGGAATGCCAATAAGAATAATGGCTGATTTATCATCTGGAACAGTGGAGGCCAGAAGGCAGTGGAATACTCATCGTGCTGAAAGAAAAAAAGATTTGTCAACCAAGAATTCTATATTCAGCAAAACCGTACTTTAAAAATGAAGGTGAAATAACAACATTCCACAGTAAACAGAGACTGAGACAATGTGTTGCCAGTCACCCACCGTAAAAGAAATACTGAAGGAAGCTTTCAGGGTGAAAGGGGTTGATACCAGATGGTAACTTGACATACTGAAAGAAATGACAAGCATCAAAAACGATAAATATGTGGGTTAATATAAAAGACCCTGTAAATATTTTTTTTCTCATTTCCTCTCTTAGTGTCTTTAAAAGACCTGAGATTATATAAAGCAATAATTCTGAGACTGCAGTTTTGGGTTCATTACATGTGTGGATGTAATGTGTATGACAGTCGTAAAACGGAGGAGGGAAAGGGCATGAGCCACATTGGTGTAAAATTTCTGGATTTCACCAAAATTAAGTTAGTATTAATCTGAAGTAGATTATGGTAAATTAACACGTAAATTTCCCTGGAGCAACCACTTAGACAATAACTTCAAAAATTGAAGGAAAAGAGAAAGAGGTTGGCAACCAATGCCACAAAACAATTTGTATATTAACGGTTTAATGAGAAACTAATTTGCTCTGTAAACTTTCGCCTAAATCACGCACACAAAAAAGAAAGAAATTGAAAAAAATCTACAGAGGCATTTAAATGGTACACTAAAACATAATTACTTAATATAAAAGAAGACGGTGAAGTTGAAACAGAGAAACAAAAATGACAGGACAGAGGAGAGAGAAAAATGTAGAACAAAACTTAAATGCCTAAAAAAGACCAGATTTACTAGACGGGTAGAGACTAAAGGAACCCCTGAGACAGTCACCCTGAGCTACCCTTTGAGCTTGGCACTGAAGCTACTCCCACCTTTCAGCCAGATAATAGATTGGCTTATAAAACAAACAGTAGCACCTGTGAGTAATGTTCTCCTTTCAATAATCAACTATGTGAGACCAAACGGTCAACATTTACCCGAAGGCAAGCAGGGGAAGGGAAGCTAGAGCAATGGAAACAGAACAAACAGAATGGAAATAATGAGAATGCCGACACATTGTGGAAACTGTAACCAATGTCACGGAACAATTTGTATAAAAATTGTTAAACGGGAACCTAATTCGCTGTGTAAACTTTCCCCTAAAACACAATAAAATATTTTTTAAAACAATGACAGGAGACATTTATTTTATTTCTGCCATTTCTTCTATAAAGAGAAATTCACCCTCATCAAATATTTGGTTACCCTGAGTTACAGTTTGTATAGTAAAGGCAAGATAAATACTTAATTTTTTCCCCTTTATTTGCTAGTGTTCAAAATAAACAGTTGATCACCTAATATTCTTCCTGGTGACCAATTAGGTTTTATTTATATTTGTTTTTAAATAGCATTATGAACTCCTGGATTTATTTATATTTGATGACTTTCAGTCCTTAGCAGTTATTACTCCTATTGATGCTGATCTTTAGCCAGCAAATCTCTCTTAAAGTTGGATTTTTTAAGTCCTTTTGACGTGACCAGGGAGCCCTGGTGGCGCAGTGGTTAAAGTGATCAACTGCTAACAGAAGGGTCAACAGTTTGAAACCCCCAGTGGGTGAGGGAGAAAGCTGTGGCCGTCTGCTTCCGTGTAGAGATTTACAGCCTCGGGAACCCAGCGGGGTCGCTATGAGTTGAAATTGACTCGATGGCAGTGGGTTTTTTTTGAGTTGATATCATCCTTGGTATGATTTTTGATAATCTTAAAAACGATTCATTTGAAACCTATTTTAAAACGAGACTATATTACAGCCAGAAAGTGATTTTCTTCCTCTAGCCATCCCAGATTAGTTATCACTGAAGTTTGAAATGTGACTTGAATGTAAATTTTGTTGGGATTTTTCCCTGCTAGGAATTGGAGGTATCGCCAGCATGCCACCCCTCACAGCTGTCGCTCCAGTGCCAATGGGATCCATCCCAGTTGTGGGGATGTCTCCACCCCTGGTATCTTCTGTACCTCCAGCAGCAGTACCTCCCCTGGCCAACGGTGCCCCACCTGTTATACAGCCTCTGCCTGCGTTTGCTCACGCTGGTATGTGACCTGCCCAGACTGTCGGCTCACTCTTTCTGATTAAATGCTATTTTATTTCCGAGGGAAATGTCTAGACATTTAAAATTTTTGATTTCCCACTTACTTCAGCAGATTAAATGGGATGTGCTAGGGTGGAGTGAGGACAGGAGGATGGGATTAGAGAGCTCTGGGTACTGTTGTGGAGCCCTGGTGGTGCAGGGGTTAAGAGCTTAGCTGCTAACCAAAAGGTTAGCAGTTGGAATCCACCAGCTGCTCCTGGAAACCCTGTGGGGCAGTTCTCCTGTGTCCCATGGGGTGGCTGTGAGTTGGGACTGACTCGACGGTGGTGGGTGGGTTGGTTGGGTGGGTGGGTGCTCTGGTGGTAGAGGTGCGCTCAGCAGCCAAAGCCGAGAACGTAATTTCCTCTCCAGGGCTTGATGAGAGCAACTGAAGTTTGAACAGTTTCGGAACATTTCTTATTTTCGTGTATCAGGTACCACTTTTCTTCAGCTGCTAAGAATTGCTAGTCAGCAAGCCAGTCCTTTAGGAGTAGAAAGACGCGAGGATTAAAAAACAAGAGACCCAGTGCACGGTTTCTGTGAGGAGGTGGAGTGAACCGGGCGGAAAGAGGGAAGGAGGCCATTTACTAACTACGTGCGGGTCGTAGTGGTACACGCTGAATCGGAAGAAAGGACTAAAAAGTTCCTGGTTTAGTTCATTCCATTTTGAAGCCTTATTCAAAGTCTTTTTTCCCTTCGGTGAAACGAAAGCATAAACCGTACATGTAGATAACTTCGTATAACAGATCTTGAATGAATTTATATAAATACGGAAATTATAACAAAAAATTACTTTGGATATGTCTGAGCCAATCCCAGTAGTGATGACAGTATGGGTTTTAGCATTATGTTTGAATCATGATTGTTTTGATTGTGGCCCGCTAGATTTATTACATATGTAACCTAAGTTATGGCCAAAGAATCTGAATGTACCTTTTTTTTTAAAAAAAGATTTTCTTGTCACGTGTAGTCCGTCTTCCCTACGTGCCCGTGACTACAGATCCGGTGGCTGTTGAGGTGTATGCAGTTGTCTTTCCAGGAGTGTTGGTGAATCCACCCACCCTGAAGCTTGTTTTCTTTTGCGGTTCTTTTGCAAGTGAGGGCGATGTGACGAAGGCTCCAAGTTGTTTCTTTTGTTTTTTCCTGACACCAGGCTAACCAGCCTCAGTGTGAATCAGACCCCCACACTGACCCTCCCTAGCTTCACGTGTTACTGGCCAGGACCTCAGTCTGTGGCTTCTTGGCTGTCACATCTGGAACTAATACTTCAGCTCCTCCAGCAGCGTTAAAAAAAAAAAAATGCCGTTTTACACATGTAAGCTGTTACCTCTTGAACTATTAGAACAGGCCTTATAAAACATGATACCAAAAGGTTCACGAAGAATAAAATTTTATGGAAGCAAGCATTACTACTTAAACTAGTGAGGTGTTTTTCGGTAGAATGAATAAATCTGGGAACGTTTTTTGGCAAGAGGCAAAGTCAGGAGAGAGTAGAGGGGTAACTTTTTGAGTCCAGGGAGGTAAGAAGGGAGGGATTATTTCTGCCCCAGATTTGATGACTGTGCGTTCTAATTTCCGTAAATGGGAAAAAGTTTCTTATCTTTGTAGGATTAAAATTACTCAACACTTGTTTATTTTACAGCAGCCACATTGCCAAAGAGTTCTTCCTTCAGTCGATCTGGCCCAGGGTCACAGTTAAACACTAAATTACAGAAGGCACAATCGTTTGACGTGGCTAGGTAAGTTTGCTTGTTTTTCAGTGGGAGGCTTGGTTAAAGCCATTATCTGATTAACTCATTCATTTGAAAATGAATTAGCTGTGTTCTTTGTCTTCTTGTATTTTGTAGAAAGCTGTTATAATTTTCTTAATTTGGGTAATGTTACTAGGTCTTAGCGTTTGTTTGTTACAGAGATGACAGTAATCAAAGACATGATATTTCCTTTAAAGGCTTTGCGTTTTTTTTTAAAGAGGACAACAAATAGGTAATAGTAAAAATGTTTAAAAATAGTAAAATAGAACTCCAGGGTAGGAGGAAAAATAGTGAATTAACTATTTTGTGTAACCATTTAGAAGTTTATTTGTAAACATTTTTGTATGAAGATTGGAGCCACAATTGTCCTTGTTTTTAGTTCTATCTCAGATTGTCTTATGGATTCTCAGTAAAACCATATATAAGACCAGTTTTTATGAAATGAGTTATATGGATTAGTGAACTGTTCAAGTTCATCCAACATGTGACCCAGCTCGTATGACCTTACTGATTCTATTTCAGCCATTCTTGTTTCATATTGTCTTCCATATTTTTATTTTCTTTCCCCCCGGTTTTTCCCTTTACACGCTGCTACAGAGATGAAAAATTAGGTCTCCTTTTTTTTTTGGAATAATGGGGGATATAAATGAAGACGATTCCATCTTTTCTTGTTTCACCCCTCCCTGGAAATCTTTCTTAAATGAATCAAATCATTTTCTCTTTTGAAAGAGTGTTGAATATAATTCAGTCTCTCTTGGATGGCTGAGAACCATAGAGTGCTTGAATGAGACTGCTTTTTTAACATAGATTTCTCATAATTTCATAGCTCTGTGCTTTTCATCTGTTTATAATTACCTTTAAAAAATGATTTAAAGAAAATCCATAAACTGAAAAGCGCTGTGCCAAATGCTTTATTTGCGTGATCCCACTGAATGATCTCCTTCTCCCCCATAAGATAGCCCCATTATTTTCTCCTTGTTGTGGGTGACCGCGAAGCTCAGAGACATTAAGTAATTTGCCCACGATAACGTGACTCCCAAGTGGCAGAGCTAAGAGTCGAACCGAGTTCTTTCTGATTTTAAAGCATGTGTTCTTAACCATGAATCACATCATCTTAGTGAGTTTGCTCTTTAGACTTCAGCTGACTGGGAAACAGGTATCTGTGTTTCACTAAGCTGAGGTTTTAACTCTTAAGGTGCAGGGATATTTGTTGAGCATCTGCTTTGTCAGGTACTCCATTAATCCCATTTAACCCCCTCAACCACCTGGGAAATAAACCTTGTCTCAGGGTTGTGAATGGGAAGACGAGCCAGAGACGGTCATTCCTCCCCGTGGCTTCCAGCTAGTGACAGCAGGGCTGAGGCTTAAACTCAGATTATCTGTCACCAAGTTCCATATCTTTTCTTCTTTTCACTATACCATGCTGAAGTTTTGAGCTTTCTCTGACTCATCCACAAGGGATTTTGACATGTCTTATTTATGACATTAGAATGAGTTAACAGTCAGTGTTAGCAAACTTTAATGCCATGAGGACGATTTATTTTCTAATGTAGTCAGTCAAATTTTCAATACCAATTATTCAAATCCCTAGCAAATTGTTGTGATAGAGCATATAAACTTTTGGTTACATATTATCAATGAGCTTTTAGTCTGTTTAGATTCTCAGGACTTGGGCAGAAGACTATGACTCGGTAAGTGTAATCTGGGACAGCTTCTGTGTGGAACACCCTGGCTTTCCTGGAGTGTAGTAGAGAGATAGTCAGCTTCTTGGCAAATAGGCAAGAGTTAGAATTAGCAAATCATTAGTTTAAAATGAGAGGCTTGTTGCAGACGTACTCACAGCAGAGTAGATCTTGGTAAGTGGTTTTTATTAAGAAAACTTCACACATTTTCAGTTAATTTTGTGACCTTTTGAAAATAATTATTTTAAAGAGAGATGCATAAAAATGTGTGGCCGTATGAAAAGTTTGCACGTAATAAAATAGGAAACTTTACAAAAATTTAAAAAGGTTAATTTATATAGGTACTTTTTAAGGGTTTGTAAGCGATTTCCTATTCTTTATGAAGTGTGTGTAGTAAGTATAAGTGCATAGGTAACATATATAAATTATGAGGATATATATATGTGTATAAATTAAGACGGTCAATTTATGATTAAAATTTTGCTTTTCCGTGTGAGAAATAGATACTTTTATTGAAATGAAAGAAAATCACATGTGGGGCATTAGTTGTCATCTGCCCTGGATGTCGAGTGCCATTTTTGCTGTCAGCTCAGCCAGTATTTTTAAATCACCCGATTTCACCATCAGGCTGTTCACACGCATCGGTACCAATGTGAGACTCGTGGGCAGTGGCATCTGAGGAGCGGACCTCTAAGCAGGCCTTGACGCCCCCTGACTGCTGGCAGGCTTTCCTCAGGTCAGGGCTGAGGTGCGTTGGCAAGCAGAGGTCGGCCTGGATCGCAGTCATGAAGACGGAGCTCTCGCCATTCCTGCCCCACTGCTTCACTGTGACCCTTGCAGTGTTCTCTTCCCGCTCTGGGAGGCTCTTCACTGGATGGGAATGGAAAATTCCCAGAATGAGATAATTTCACGTCATTAAGGAATGTGTCCTGCTTTTTGGCGTATAGAAAGTTAGACATTTCAGGCAATTAGTAACTTTAAAGGCCGTTGTTTCTTTACTGTCAGCACTGCTTTTTAAATCAAAACAGAAACGTTCTAGAATTCTAGAAAATCCTGGGCCTTATGGCATTGCCTCAGCTCCAAGGAGATGGTCATCGTTTTAGAGAGCTGTCATATTATTAAATTATCTATATAACTTGCAACAGCCACTTGGTCTGTTTCGTTTACCCAGGAGACTCAAGAAAAATAATGAGCTTATCAATTTTTAGAGAAATGTTTATAAACTTAAAAATGGAAAATACTCGTTATAGAGAATGGAGAAATGGTGATTAGAAAGTGAATAAAATGTTAAACTAGTCATCGTTGTCTGGAGCACAGCTTAGCTCACTGTTTTTAAAGAAGTAAAATAGGCTGTTCTTACTATTAACCCTCTTCTTCTGCCCTCCCCCCAGTGCCCCTCCAGTGGCAGAATGGGCTGTTCCTCAGTCATCGAGACTGAAATACAGGCAGTTATTCAACAGTCACGACAAAACCATGAGTGGACACTTAACAGGTACTTACAAGGAATAGTTAATTTAATGAAACTCGTCTTTGTTCTAAATGCGGCTTGGTTCTAGATGTTTGGTCAGAGATGTCTTTCAGATGTCCTCCTCTCTGTGTTTATTTCTGGAGAGGGTTCATCATCCCTTGGCTCTGGCGTTCTCCTCTGCTGGTAACTCCGTAGCTAGCTCCTCTGTTCTCCAGTGCCTCAGGCCTTTGCTTGCTTGCCTCTTGGTGAAATGGGGCAGAGACAGCGAAGCTCTGCAAAAGCCACTTGTGTGCAGAGCAGATGACTAGCAAAGAAACACTGCCCTGAACAAAACTGACTTCAAGTTCAAGTCCAGCTTCATAGAGAAACTGGAAACTGCCTACTGCACAGTTCAGAGCTTGAGGTAGCACGCAGGGTGAGAGGTGACTGGGTGTGGGGATGGGAACCTGGCTGTGCCACAGACTAGCAGGGAGACGGGAACCCGGCTGTGCCGCGAACCAGCAGGGGGACGGAACCCGGCTGTGCCGCGAACCAGCAGGGGGACGGGAACCCGGCTGGGCCGCGAACCAGCAGGGGGACGGGAACCCGGCTGTGCCGCGAACCAGCAGGGAGATGGGAACCTGGCTGTGCCGTGAACTAGCAGGGATCTTTGGATCTTAGCTCTTCATCTGTAAAAGGCCAGAGTTAGGTTTTGTGCCGTCAGTGGATTTTTACAAAATACGATGATTCTGTTATCTACATCAGAAGGACAGAGAAGGATTTTTGGATGCCATCCAGAAGCCTTTCTCATGAAGGATTAAACACTTAAAATTGATTAGAGAGTTAATAAAGAAAAGCATAGTTATAATACAGGAAAATCAAGATCTCTGATATAAACATTAAGTATAAAAGAAAAAAATGTAACTGCCCTTTAACAAACATGAAAGAAAGGAAGGGAGGAGAAAAGATTTGTTTTCCTGAGGTGAGGTGGTGAGAAGCACTGGTGTACAGTACAAAACCCCTTTGTTTAATTTATTGTACAATAGATGAAGGTTTACAGAAAAAAACTAGCTTCTCATTAAACAGTTAGTACACATTGTTTTATGACAATGGTTAACAACCCCACGACATGTCAACACTGTCCCTTCTCAACCTTGGGTTCCCTGTTACTAGCTTTCCTGTCCCCTCCTGCCTTCTAGTCCTTGTCCCTTGACTGTTGTACCCCATTAGTCTCATTTTGTTTTATGGGGCTGTCTAATCTTTGGCTGAAGGGTGAACCTCAAGAGTGACTTCATTACTGAGCTAAAAGGTGTGTGGGGGCCATACTCTCGGGGTTTCTGCAGTCTGTGTCAGGTCAGTAAGTCTGGTCTTTTTTTTTTGTGAGTTAGAGTTTTGTTCTACATTTTCCCCCAGCTCTGTCTGGGACCCTCTGTTGTGATTCCTGTCAGAGCAGTCAGTGGCGGTAGCCGGGCACCATCTTGTTATACTGGACTCAGTCTGGTGGAGGCCGTGGTAGTTGTGGTCCATTAGTCCTTTGGACTAATCTTTCCCTTGTGTCTTTGGTTTTATTTATTCTTCCTTGCTTCAAATGGGGTGAGACCAGTGGAGTATCTTAGATGGCCATTCACAGGCTTTTAAGACCCCATATGCTACTCACCAAAGTAGAATGTGGAACATTTTCTTCATAAACTATGTTATGCCAATTGAGCTAGGTGTTCCCCGAGACCATGGTCCCCACAGCCCTCAGCCCAGCAGTTCGGTGCCAGCTATGCTGGCTTCCCCAGTATTCTGTACTGTCTTACCCTTCACCAAAGTTACCACTTATCTATTGTCTATTTAGTATTTCCCCCCCACCCCTCCCCTCCCTCGTAACCATCAAAGA